CCCCAAAACCCCAAAACCCCAAAACCCCAATTTTAGAATTCTCAATCTTTTAAAGCTAACAACTTAGGAATCTTGATTCAAAGCCAGAAAGAAACTAAAAGAGAGAAAACTAGTCAAGTAAAAATGCAAGTATCACCCCAACGTCTCTTAAAGTACCTCCTCCTTTTCTACTCAAAGTTATGATATACCCCTCTGCAGGTCTCTCTTAAATCCTTCATCTCTTCAATATTTTTATTATCTACAATTTCCAAGACCAAAGGAGCATTCAAAGATGCTAAACCACTAGATATGGGTTCAAGCAAATAGTGTAGTATAAATCCAGTCACATTCATTAAAACTCTTCATAATCTTCCCAATCGTAAATACTAATTTATTCCTCAAGGAAGACTTCACCCAAAATGGCTTGGATCAAGGAGGAAATCTGGCACAGTGATACTCAATAAAACTGGAGCACATTTTTAGTAAACCGGAAGAACCCAATTTCGAAACGGAGTTTCCGTAAGAAGAGAACTGTCCATTCTGGACCCTGATGATTCCTTGTCGAAAGGGACAGTATGTCAATGAGCCAGAATGCTTTTATGCAAAGTGGAATTCCGGTGTTGTAAGACACCTGAATTCATAATTAATCAAAACTTTCCGAATATAAAACTTACTGGTTATTTGAGAACAGGAAGTTATTTTGCACCAAAAATATATCGCAATGTGCAATCGCTGATAGGAAATTAAGCAGCCATAGGGTCAGGATGATTCATTAAAACCCGAAATAAGTCATCAAAATCTCGAATTGATTCATGAACTATAGGAAAATGTGAAATAACCTGGAATGATTAGTATGAGAGCAAAAGTGGTTCATAATAACTTCAATTGGTTTATCTAGAATTAGGAATGTGTCATAAGAGATCCGGATTTCAGATAAATAGGCTCCTGATTTATTAAAACAACCTGTCTATTGGCAGATTGTCCCTTTTGATAATAAATAATTCCAGTTAAGAATGAACTGTTCCACTCTTTTTTATCAAAATTTCATTTCGAAAATGAATTGTTCCAGATTTCTAAGAATCATCGTGGTTTTATAAAAATATTCTCAAGTTTTGAGTGTCACCGCAAGAACTCATAGAGAGAGACATAATGAACAATTATTGAGACATCTACATAAAGCTAGATTTATGTAGATCAATCAGATGTCTAACTTGATGTATGACCTAATGATATATCGGCAGCATACAAGATAAGATATTCTTCTATGGGGTTGAGTTTGTATCAGATATTACTTTCGAAACCTTCAATTTGCTTTTAGCCAAAAGGGGTTTTGGGGTTTTGGGGTTTTGGGG